TATATATATATATATATATATATACACGTACATATATATTGCTTATTGTAAACCCAATTTATTTTTATAATATAATAAGATTTGTTTTGCAAAAGAGAGTCATCCAAATATAACTTTATGAGTTAAGTCTCTTGAGTTGACGCAATGAATTTCATTCTTTTTTTCCTTATACATATTTCTTTATTCCAATCTTCAATCTTTTATCAAAATGGGATATCTCAAACTTAAACACAATTCACCAACATTTCAATACTTAATTCTCATGATGCACCTAATTACCTATTGGTTTTTCTTTTTATATATATATATATATATAGGTTATATATATAGGTTGGTTATTATACAACCAGTCACATTTATACAACTAATACAACACAATCTCAACCATCCATTTAATTTGATGAATATGTGATTTCATAGAAGTTTTGATTGTTTCCTATTATAAAGTATTGATCATAATTAATGAAACGTATTCATCTTCCATAAATATTCAAATCATAATAAATAAACTCTCATCATTTCTATAAATATCTCAACTAATTGGGTTGTATTGGTTGTACAAATTGACATGGTTGCATTTGAAATATACCCTATATATATATACATATAATAATAATAAGATAATAAGATTTGTTTTGAAAAAAATAGGGTCATCCAAATAAGATAACCTTATGACTCAAGCTTCATGAGTTGACACAATATAAGATTTGTTTTTAAAAACAGGGTCATGTAAATAAGATAATTTTATGAGTCAAGCCTCATGAATTGAACCAATGACTCTCATCATTCTTTCTTATACACACCTACTTATTTCAATCTTTCAATCTCTCACCAATATGGGATACCTCAAACTCAACCACAATTCATCAACACCTCAATTACTCAATTCTCATTATGCCACCTCAATACTCTGGGTTCTTCCTTTAATATATATATATATATATATAGAGAGAGAGAGAGAGAGAGGTTGGTTCAAATACTAACCCATTTTTTTGTGTTAATTATGCTAACCAACGTCAACCAATCATGTTCCATCTTTTAGTTAGGTTCAAATGTAACTCACATATTAAGTGTAAGGGTATTTAGGTAATTTGTCATTTTTATGTAACTCCCCAATATTTTAATTGGGAGTTACAAATCTTAAAATATCACTAATTGCTCTTCATGTAATAATGACATGAAGTTTCACATTTGTTCATCTTAATGATTTTTACATTTCATTCTTCCTACAATGGTTTTGATATTGTAAATTTCAAAAAAGTCCCTTTTGTAAAGATTACATTATAATCCGAGTAATATGGATAATCATAAAGTAAAACAAATCGACGACAATGAGAATAAAAAAGCTAAAAGCGTCTACGAATACATTCGGAATTCGAATTCCGAAAGTGAAGAAAATGATCAAACCGTTCACGCACATGTTCACTCAAACGTCGACATATGTGTTCACTCGTGCACATATGTGTTCAATTGGTTCACACAATATGTCCATTTGGTTCACACACATGTTTCAATTGTTCATTAGGTTCACACATTTTTTGATGAAGATTATGAGCCTAATTTTTCAATTGTTCATTAGGTTCACACATTGTTCATTAGGTTCACACACATGTTTCAATCTTATCTGGATGTCGTCGCTTGGTAATCCTCCATTGTTTTGATGAATATTATGAACCTAATTTTTAGCTACTGATTTAAGATATTGATCGAAGAGATTGATGGTTTCTTTATTGATTGGAAGTTACAAAATAGGCTAACAAAATAGGATACGTTAAGATCATTCATTTTTACAATTCTACCATCTGAACTATTGTGAACCTAATTTTTTATTAATATGGTAATTAAATAATTAAATTTTTAGTCTCAATAAATGACAACCGTTGGATGTTCAAATCAACGACCAAGATCGGTTAACAAAGTTAACACGATAATCTTGGTTAGTATTTGAACCAGCCCCTATAT